GCTTTCTTGCTGTAAGATTAAGTGAGCTGGCTCGTAAAAGCACCGTCTCAAAGCCCTCGACACCACAAACTCGAAAGTTATCATCTTGAGTCGATCCTTTTCATGGAACACTGAATTTCGAGAAAAGAATTAAAATTAACATTTTCACTGTTTCCTCAAATAGGCTAAATCACATTGAAGCGCACTAAAAACTGTCGAAATCCCGAATATTTAAAGAAAGTGTTTACACAGATGCAATTATCAAAGCATTTTGAATTATGCCAATCTTGGCATGTGAACGGCATTTATCGAATGTCGTATACTTGTTGCAAAAAGATTTTTTGGTATCAAAATTTAAAAGGCTGATTTATAGCCAATTTATGTGCAATGATTAGGAAAGTTGAGAGCCACAGTAGTCGGAAAACCAGCAACTAAAAATTTATTGCTTAATTCTGCTGCTTAGAGGTTTTCTTCTAGATTTATCCTCTTTCAAACAATTCTTTCTCAATAATGTTTGTAAGGTAAAATTTCTTCTGAAAGTAATTAAGATGTCGATTTCTCATTTCAAGGAGCATGCAAATATTCAAACTCAAATAATATGGAAAGACTATACTAATCATTTGCCGAATAGTTTCTCATTCGATGATCGTTGGTTCAAAAAAGTAAGGTACTGCTATTGTTCTCTGAATTTACGCATGAGTATGGCAGTAACACCATTGTACTTTGTTTTGAAGAAAAATTACTTTTTTCAAACGGATCTCTTTCACATAGTATGCTTGAGAAAGAAGGTAAATATGCTTACAAGTATTCAAAGGGCGCTTGCAGGGCCTTCATGGAATATTCCTTGGAACACTGAATGGCTGCTGTTGGGAACTTAACTTTTGCACGTTTTAGGGGGTGGATGGTTGGATTGAAGCAACACGATCATGGAAAAGTAGGATTGAATTGAAGGCCATACTGCAACGTTCTCTTATCTTACCCGCGGTGCAGCTCATCGTCGGCTTCCTTTTTCTATCTAGTTTTGAGTCACTAGTCATTGCATTAGTTTACTGCACACTGAAGATAACCAGTGGGGTGTGGAATGCTGGTGCTAACTATGGTGCGAGAAGGTGCTAGAAACTCCCGCACTCCTTTCTCAGTCGCTATCATAGGCAGTTGAAAATTTTTCCTGGGATGGAAATGAAAATTTTCAAAGAGGCCGTAATTCTTGCAGCTGTTGTTCGAGGCTCAACCCGCTATCCAGAAGTCCGCCGTCATTTATGGGATTAGTCTTGGTGCCATGCCAGCTTGTCCTTGCCATTTGTACTGCAAAAAAAGTTTCAGAAGAGCATTTGACTGGTAGTAAGTCTGTAAATCAAATATCACAATAACTAAATTGGGTAATGATTTTCAACTATATCTCCGTCTCTTGTAGACCAACAAAGTCATAATAACCCCGACAATGCATTCACACAGGGATGCGGTAGATTAGGAACCCGAGCCTAATTAGCCCATCTCGGGGAGAGCTTGCAGGGTACAATCACGCTCGCTGTCTCCGATTGTCCTAGGACATGCCGACAATTCAAGCCCCACCCCGCAGAAGACCTGTTTTGGAACATGACTAAGAGATGCTGAAAATTCCAATAAAACTTCGGGTCATTGAGACTGGCTATTAGCCTGAAAATCTTCAAAATAATCGTACAAAGCTGAAATCAAGCTAAACGATAAAGAAAAACTGTGCCGTTATATTACATTGTTACATTTGCAAAATCATTATTATTTCAGAGTATAGCCCAGGTAATCTTTTAATCTTTATGTTTATGCCATGGCATCTGGACCTGTCTTATTTCTTGAATGATTTTCTAATCTTTGTTCGAAGTTCAGAACTTAAATAAACCTGTTTTTGAAAAGTTTTGGAGTCATTTATTGAATGATTTTCTAGTCTTTTGTGCAAATTTCAGCACTTCAATACAGAACCATTTTTGAAAAAAAATTTGAACGGTGATCTTACGAATGATCTGCCAATGTTTTGCCCGAATTTAGCAGATAAAATGCTATTTTGAAAGTTTCACAGTTTCTTAAACAGTTTCCAGGGCTTTGTTAAATTTTCATCTCTCAAATATTGTTTTAACAGAAAATATTGTGTTCAACAAGTAGATTACCTTCTGACAAAGGCACTATTTTTCTCTTTTGTTCAGGCTTAACTTCAGCTTTGTACGATTGTCTTAAGGTTTTCGGCTAAGAGCCAGTTTCAGTGACCTGTTGTTCTTTTGGAATTTTCAGCATTTTTTGACCATCTAGATCAGACTCGCTGGGGCGGGGTTTGAATTGTAGTCATGTCATAGAGTGGATTCATACTGATCCGTAAGTTTCGGAACAGTTCCAGCACAGCGCTCGAATTGTGAATTGCTGGAATGGGTGCGTATCGTTACGTGTGGGTGCTAAATTGAAAATGTCGCGCGCGACAGGCTGCCAGTAACCGCTCCAGAGAACTCGGTACATTGATAAACAGCACCATACCTTCGATAGTCAAGGGACAGGGCTCTAAAAGTGAAGATTGTTTAATTATCTGCCACACACAAAAAGCGAAGATTGTTCATATAAAACCAGAGAAGAAAAAAGCATGCAAAACGTTTAGTAAAAGAAGAGAATTTCTTGAAAATCGGATGGAAACGCTGCAATTTTCGCTCCAGGACCACGTAATCCACAACACGAGGGAAAACGAGAAAAAGTTAATTTTCTTTCTGTTTAGTCCAAAAACACCATGTTCCAGAAATAACGATTATGGAAAGATGAACAAGAAAAGAATTAGTTTTGCAAACAAAAGAGTTTTACTTTTACCAAGTCGAAATGTGCGTCAAAGTCAACCTAGTTTTTGGTGCGTCCTTCAAATTTTTACCCCGCATGTGCGTTTCCGTTTTCTTGGACGTTGTCTCACTTGTAGCGCTCACTATGAAAAGGAACGAGGTAAAGAAAAATGCACTCATTACGATTTTTCACAAAAAATTTCCGCCTTTATCGAAGAGATAAGCACTGGATCGTTGTCTGCATCATGAACAAAAGCAAAATCTATAGAATGCACGAAAAAAACGCGTGCGAAGAGTTAATCTAGGAAGAAAACAAGAGATTTCGAAAACAAGGTTTTTGGATTTCTCTTTTAAATCAAAGAAATGTGGTTTTGTGACATTGTCAGCGTTAAAGTACAGATCAAGAGCTTCATTTTGATACTAACTTGCTAGAACTGGGTTCGAAACAACGAAGAAAAGGGTACCAGAGCCAAATGCCCCGTGCCCCGCGTTTGGGGTAGCGAGGTAGCGCGCACCGCGCGAAGACGGAGACGAGCAGCGGAGACAGACCAGAGCTACGGAGCATTTGGCTCTGAAAGTAGATCTCCGCGAGGTCTCAAAAAAAATGCTACAACATTATTTATCATTCTCATCGTCATGACACCATGAGGAGCACTGATTACGTCCCAAGCGTTGAAAGTCGCTCAATAACGAGATAGACCAGCATTTTCGTGCGCGAGTCTCTGCGCAAAATTTAAGCGCAGTTCCGCTTTTTTATTCAACTCCAAGAGCTTCCCTAAACTTCAGAGACTCGATTTTAGTCAAATAGGAGGTTATTTGAGAGTAGTTGTTTTGAATTCTGGAAATAACATTCACAGACCTTCTATTTAGCATAAAAAAGGCTATAAAAACGCAAATTTTCGGTTTCGCTGAGATAATCTAGAAGTATTATTCCCTATATTTGCTTCAATCACGCTCATTCCGGTATGGTCAGAATTATAACAACCGGGGCTTCGCCCCAAATGGCTTTTTGTTTTTAGGTGAAGGTTCTGTTCTATTACGGCGCTCAAAGTGAAGGTTACCAGAGTACATGGCTCTATGTATCGAGGGTATGAGCAGCACACAGTTTTACATCTTTTGTGGAAGTTTTCAGACTATTTTCGTATTGGTGTACCTACTTATTTAAAATTCTGCCATAAAACTTGTAAAATCAGCCTTCTAGAGTACAAAAAAGATACACACTGAAGAGGGTAAAAGACTAGCAATATAGAAGAAGCATTGATAATCTAGGCGTGTAGATATGCACAAGTTTTCTGCCCTACTGCTCCTCGCCGGGGTTACCGTAGCGTCGCGTTGCGACGATTTCAATTGCTACTCACATGTAACGAGCGCCCCCCCCCCCCTTTCCCCTGCTGGAACTGTTCCCGAACTTACGGATCAGTATGAACCCAGCCAAAGGGAGCAAGGAGACAGTGAACATAATTGTATTCTGCAGCACTCCCATCGGGCTGATTAGGCTCTTGTTCCTAACAAGGGAAGGATACTAACTTAGATTTGCCTACTGAGATGAGACACACATATTTGGAATCAGCTTGGAACGCTGATTCCAAATCTGCTGCTCCTAGCTGCTTAGCATTATTCTAAAGCCAATGATGGTCTCTATTCTATGTGCTCCTCGAGTTATGGATGCTACAGTGTCGACGTCTAGGTGGTTTTGTAATTGTATAATGCTCCTTTTCAAGATCGAAAGAATTAATCTGATGCTAACTCTCCTAGCACTTTTCGAGGAGATTCTTATCTACGCCGTCTTACGACGTTCAGAAGTTTGTTAATTACTCACAACGGCAAGCCCATAACTCACTACGGAATAACGCTAGACAGCTAGGAACTTCCAAATATATGTGTCTCATCTCAAAATGCGAATCTAAGTTAGTATCCTTCCCTTGTAAGTCCCCCCCCCCCCTTCACACTCCAACCAATCTGAATGAGTAAGTAAAAACATTTGAAAAAAACAATTGATCCAAAGTAATACGGAAATTCTTAACTCATTTGTCAAAGTTCTGTAAATCGATGACGCGTCACGGACAAGTAACCTTACTACTCGTTCGACAAACTGCAGAGTTAAACAGAATTTTTTGAGTTTGTCTTCTTGTGTTCTGGCTACAACACTCCTTTTCAACTCTATTCAGAAGCCATAAATACATTCTGGGATACAGGTGAACCCGCTCAGCTAAGATAAGTACCTACAAATTTTTAGAGCTTACAATGCTGCAGTGAAGGCCATGCTGGATTTAATTGCAATTTTTCTACTTTTTCTCCACCCCTTCACTTCCTTGTGCTGCAGACAGTCACGTGAGTTCTTGAATTCTTAAACTGCTCACGAATTGTGATGCTGTCGAGACCGCCATTTGAGTGATAGATTTTATCTCAAACTAACTGCTTAAAGAGTGTAGAGTTTTGTTTGCAATGCCATCAATGTTACCCTTGTTTTATGTCTAGTGTGCATAAGTATGCTTCTAATTGCAGTGATAGGTAAGAACAGAAGCATATTTCTTCTGTAGAACAAGCTCGTCCTAGGTTCTGTCGTAGACGAAAAAGAAACAAAAGTTGGACATATGACGATAGTTTTGCTACTTCCTTCCTCAAAACTCCTTACAGCTATGATGCCAATGATTCCTCCGATGGGAGGCGGCTTTGGAATGGGTGGCTTCCCTACAATGGGCGGTTTTGGCCTTGGATTTCCTGTAAGTTAGCAGTTGTACTAGCAAGCTCAAAATATGAGTCATTCATGGACAGTGTTCATATCTTTGTTATCATCTCACGTCCAAACACTGAGTTCTATAACAAAAGGACAAAAACGTGATTTAAATTATCACTTCCTATTACATGCTGTTTTAGTCCAGTAATATGTTTGGAACCGGTTCAGCCTGGGCAGCGAGCGGAGGGTTAATCGGCAATGCATTGGCATTTCTTCTCGGTTAACAAGTGTAACAAATGTTATGCAGTTATTCGCTACATTAAAATTAGTTTTTACTCAATCAACTGATTCTAGTTTGTAGTAGCACCATGCAAAATCAGTATATGTGTGTAATAATGAATATAATAAATGATCTACAAAAATGAATACGAAACGGCGAAATGATCAGTGTATATACATATACAATTCATATGAACAAACGTATAGATCCAGTATTTATCGGAATACCGTAGTGGGCGTTCATGGAAGCGAGGCAGATGTGGAATCCTGGCAGATGAAGTCGTGAAAGCCGACAGAGACGGCGAACGAGTGAGGCTCGATTTTGGTTATTTTGGTTTGCTTTTTGAATTCTCAAAAAATGTGCGCTTACCTTATTTTGTCGACTAAGCCTTCCTACCTCATTTTTTTGACACAAATGATGGAAGCCATCATGATTTTCCGAAATGTGCAGAAAAATAATGCGCAAGTATTGCCATCACTTTCTGTTTTCATATCCCAAGCGATCTTCGCGGGACCTTGACTTACAGTTGAGAAGTCGCAAACTTTCGCGGTTAGACTAACAACGACATAGAGAACAATTCCTTATGCTTTTGAAACCACGATAAATTGATAACAATCTCTAACGGTACATGTTATCATTAGCCTTTTCTCCTGTTATTTTGTTGAAATAGATTCAGTTATTTCTAGCTTGCGTTGTTCAAAAAAGCAAAAGAGATTTTGTGTAGTGGTTCAACTACAAACGACCATCAACCTAATTTGCTGTTTTTATTGAGAAGAAGAAAACTTCTCAACCTCTGTTGACATGTAACAAAGAAGTTGCATACATGGATCCAGCCAGGCGATTACATTGCACAATTTTTTTTACAGCGAGGCCATACTGTCCGTCTGTTGTGTTATATATGTGACCTTCACTGAGAAGGAATTGTGGATCATTGTGAGACGTTTCGAGGTCTGCCGCAGCTATAGCTTCAAAGAAAATAATATGAGACTGGTCAATTCGAGATATTCAGAATTGCAAATTCTCTATTCCTTTGACACTGCTCTCTGACAACGCATCGAGGCCCTTTTTCTCTTTCGCGTTTTAGAATTGCCGTTATCTAAGAAAATTTCGGGCATATAGAGTAAAAGCAGTATAGAAATCCAAGCACGAACCTTCCCACGCTGACCGACAAAGTTGTGCTTTTACGAATAGAGTATGAACCTACCTGTGTCTTCTGTAATAGATAGACACATATTCAAGAATCTCCAACAATACAGCACCGCGTTCGGAGTTCATCAGCGGAAGTATCAAAAAGACGGCCGGATAATATTGTCGCATGCCCCGATGCAAAGAAGAGGAGACGTTCTAAGAAGAAAAAAAAGGAATACTGTACTTGTTATTATAATGTACTACATAAGTGCTTTTTCAAATACAGTACACGCACGAACAATACATACTTCACTATCAAAATGCCTCCTTAACATGTTCTTTTTTTGCTCATAGCCTAGAATGTTTGTCAGTGATACATCCTCCCAGAATTCTACAATAGGATTAGCTTTTTCCTTTCAACACCGCGTGTATTGTATCATTTATTAAACCTAAAAAGAGACGTCGCCAAATTGATGGTTTGCATACTGTTTTAATCCTCCAACTATTTTGTCTTCTACTAAAACCTCGCACCTGACTTTCTTTTACTGAACTTGATGCAAAGATATACCTGGCTGCATAACGTGGGATGTTTTACTTACTATTACGATACTCCACTATCTCCGCGAAGTCCAGCGTAACTCCACGCTCAGCTTCTAACGTAACATATCGAACCACAGAGAAGTCCTTCATCGGTATTGCTAGGAGAAAGTATCCGTGATCAACCGATCGATGAAGAGCCTCTGCTACACTTGCTGTGCTTTTACACAATATACTTCCGACTCATTCGAAACATCGGCTAGCCGTCCTGTATTTTATTTTATGCTTAGGTAATTCAGAGAATTTGTAACAGCATGCATAGGCCGGATGATCACTCAAATTAGGTAACCCCTTGATTCGTGGCTACAGCGTGCACACGTTTGGAAGGAAGCAGACTTTTTTATGACATAAACAAATCAAGGACGTCTGCTGTTTCGTCTTTAAAATGTAAGGCTGTTAGCCTTACTCAACGCATCGCGGTACTTTGCTATGCAGATAGTCCGCCACAAGCAAGGTTCATTCTTGCAGGCTCTCTGTAACAGGCACGACCCAATAGCAGGTTTTGATTGAAAGCAACCACTTCTACGGACAAACGTGAGATGTGAATGTGCATACTATGTTTTTTGCCCACAAAAATAGGCTGTTATGCCGTAACTTTGCCAGATAGCGAAACATCCTGTAGTTGTAGAGAAAATGTGCCCGCTACTGCAAGCTACCGTCTAAACTATCAACTGGGTGCAAAATGTCCTTTCTTGCTAAACAATTCGTTGCACGCTTTTTGTGTAAAAAAAACTTCAAGTTATTCTTTTCAAAGAATAAGCTTATATGTTTGCTTCCAAAGTGGGATCCCGGTCGAGCTTTCTGAGGATGTTCAAAGTCTTAAGTCAGCTAGTTACCCGTGGGACCATGCGAAAATCCACAGCATTTGATATGACATCAGTTGGTGTTAAAATGTTTTAGTGCAGTGATCTTGTGTAATATTCTGAAGCCGCACCTTCCACTATATTTGAAACTCTACATTTTCTTATATTTCTCTAATTTACTTTCATACACTCCTTTTTTCAGGACCGTTACCTGAGTTCATTCACGTATAAAGTCAATAGTTCATGTTCATGGTAGTAACTATCCTCTCATTATTATTGTGATCCATTGTTTTTCTTTCGAATATGGCCGCCAGTATGTGTGATTAATGTCTCTTAACCACAAAAGACTATAGTCTTATGGTTATATAACATTAGGTCAAGTTTTGACAACTTACGACATGTTGCAAAGATCCTATACGTTTACGTACATTATGCCGCTCGAGCAAATCACTTTCTGAAGAACAGTGGCTTGCATAGTCCAGGGTCGACTTTACGTGTTGCAGGGCATGTTTCTTGACATCCTCATAGGTAGTGACTTCTTAGTTATCTACAACAACAAAGATTAACATCAGCTTAATCTTGTTTTATTCAGACCGGTAATTTTACAGTTAGCCAATTAGTGCGTGACAAAAGATGTGTTTGTTCCACGTCCCTTTGGACGTGGTCGATAGCATTCCTAACAATATGGGTTCCTTCATACTACGCCGCAGGACGCAGCAACCTGCCGCAGCACGCCGCGTCCTGTGGCGTACGCCGCTGCAGTCGTAAGGGTTGGGCCAGAATGCGCTGCGTGCGTCACGTACGCCGCGCACTCTGGCTCAACTCTAACGAGAATATACGCTCAGGCAGCACAGCTTCGCCGTTTATGGATGTATCTCTGTATTTGCTGCACGTTCGTGTTCTCCGCGATGTTCTTCCACAGCGAGCGAGCTTATATTTTCACTGCGACTGCAGCGGCGCGAGCCGCAGGACGCGGTATGCTGCGGCAGGCTGCTGTGTCCTGCCGCGTGCACCGCATCTCGCAGCCCCTGCGGCGTACTATGAAGGAACCCCCATGAAGTTGATAGGTAGGCACCAGTGGCGTATCCAGGATTTCGGTTCGGGAGGCCACGCCCCCGAAAATTTTTTTTACAAGGCTAATTTGAATTTTTAAATTTTTTAAAAAATTACTTTAATTATTAGGTTGGTCCGAATGTTCGTTCGCACCATTTTCAAAAAATCATAACTTCCTTACCTCACGATGATTTTGCGCAATTCAAATTTTATTAGAAAGCGTAAAGCATGTAGTTTCCAAGGGTCCCCTAATGACTTTTCAGCATGTTCAGATTGCAGAGATAAAAAGAAAGAACGAGAACATCCGAAATTCGGAATTTTTGAGAAAAAATTTCAAAAATCTAGAAACTGCGCGATAAAATCCAGAAAAGCCATCATCCTAATTTTTCTTATATTTGATTACTAAATGAGTCAAGTTTGTGCTGATCGAGCTCTTCTTTTAAAAGTTATGATTTTTTGAAAAAAATGCCGGAAAATCGATTTCTTAGGAATCCTTAGGAAAATGATTTTTCGGCATTTTTTTCAAATATTCATAACTTTCAAAAGAAGGGCTCAATCAGCACAAACTTAACTAAGTTAGTAATCAAATATAAGAAAAATTAGGATAATGGCTTTTCTGGATTTTACCGCGCAGTTTCTAGATTAGAATTTTTTCTCAAAAATTCCGAATTTCGAATGTTCTCGTCCTTTCATTTTTATCTCTGCAATCTGAACATGCTGGAAAGTCTCCAGAGGACTGTTGGAAAATACATGCTTTACGCTTTCTAATAAAATTTGAATTGCGCAAAATCATTGTGAGGGAAGGAAGTTATGATTTTTTGAAAATGGTGCAAACGAACTTTCGGACCAACCTAATATTTACAGGTAAAAACTAGTCCTCTGCACATTTTTATTACATATTTACCCTTCCCACCCCCCCCCCCCTCGATACGCCACTGGTAGGCACTAACATTAAAATCAGGGAGTTTCGGGTTGAACAAACAGTAAATACTGTGAACATCAGACATGGTTGAATGAATACCATTATGATCAGGCTTTCAAGCATATGCCGCCAAAACTTTCGCGCTATGGAGAATTTGTTTTATACCTGCCTCACTATCTTTACTATCCTCGTTGCTATGCACACACATTAACACATTAACGACCATGCAGATTTTTGATTGTCTGCCTTCTGCGACCAAGGCCTTTTACGGACCAGCCCACATTTTTCAACTATAATTATGCATAGACCATCTACAGTACACCCTACAATAGATCTGAGATGCTGACGAAGAGAGTAGAGGTCGTCCTCATATTTAGTGCAAAAAGAAGCTCGTGGAGTGAGTTCATCCCAGGATAGTACTAATTTTAACAAAATTCAAGCCTTGACACACATGATGTGTCAAGCGGTCCCACGCGGTAGTCATCGCTTGACAGATCATGTGTTTAAGCGGTCGTCAATGTTTTAAACTCCAAGTAAGGTAAATTTACCAATGGCAAAAACTACTACATAAATGCCGGCAAGACAAACACAAACATCA